GGAAATGCTAACCATTCCCTCTACAGGACTTAGAACCTGTTCTTCCCACCCACCCAGGTTATACTCCCTCCAAAGAATCACACAAACCAGTCTCTCAGTCTGTTTTAGTTGTGTGTCTGCTCAAATGGGCCTTTAAAAGATAAATCACTTACCATGGTATCTAAAATAAAACTTCTCTATCATTTTCCTGACTTTATTTTTCATCAGAGCACTTACTACACACTTTATGTATAGTCTGTTTCATTCCATTAGAATTCAAGCTCTGCTTAAACAGGTACATGGTCTTTCTGCTGTGGTTAGAATAGCACCTGACATATAATATTTAATATTCATTGAATGAAGGAACTATGATTATAGATAACTAAGTAGACAATGACAAGTAGCACACTTGTTTTTTCCAGTCCTGGGGCTTGAACTCAAGGCCAGGGCACCACCCTTAAGTTTCTTTTGTTCAAGGCTAGCACTCTACCACTTGAGTCACAGCATCACTTCTGGCTTTTTCTGTTTATATGGTACTGAGGAATTGAACCCAGAGCTTCATGTATGGTAGGCAAGAACTCTACTACTAAGCCACATTCCCAGCCCCAGACTTGTATTCTTATTATTAGTATTTTTATCACTAGTCTCTTAAGTAGTACTAAGTATACGGTTGCTAACATTTGACACCTTGTGCTATATGAAGCACTACACAGAAGCCCAAAATGCAGGACACTGTTATTCAGGGTCAGCAGAATACTGTGGGAAAGTTTGTAATCAGGCAAACACACAAGGGCTCTGGAGTCAGTCAAAATGGTGCCAGTTTAAATGCTGCCACAGTGCAGCCCTGAGCATGTCCCTAACAGGTATGTATCAAGGATCAAGGAAAATGACTTATATGGAAGCATTCTGTCATGTACAAGACACTGTACTCTAAAGAAAGTATTACCAACCACTAGAAACAAGCTTAAACTATTTATTTGATAACAACCTTATTTAAAGTACCATAGGACAGTGTCCATTCATCAAAAACAAATGGATGCATATCGATGCATGTTTGTGTGCATGACTGCATGTGCATATATGTATGTATATATATGTATATTCATGTATATTCATCTGTATTTCAAGAATATGCACACTTCCAAGGGACATATACTGACAATGAACCTGACTTATTAGAAAAGTCTTACCTGAAATCTTGCTATATATCCAGTTCTTTAACATGAAAAGTCTTTCTAACAAGACTTCTAACAGACCACTGAACACAGGAACCTAAATCTTCCAGAGGAAGGTTCAAATTCTTTCCACTTTCCAGTGGAAACTTCAGATTCTTTTAGACTGCTAAAATCCTCCTTGGAAACTTTAGGTCAGGTAAGCTTCCACTCACCATTTCTTTTTTTTTTTGGGGGGGGGGGTCCAGTCGTGGGCCTGAGCTCTGGGCCTGGGCACTGTCCCTCAGCTCTTCAGCTCAAGGCTAGCGCTCTAACACTTGAGCCACAGTGCCACTTCCGGCTTTTTTCCTTTTTGCTTTTATGGTGCTGGGGATTCAAACCCAGAGCCTCATGCATGCAAGGCAAGCACTCTACCACTGAGCCACCTTCCCAGCCCCCCACCCACCATTTCTAAGCTAGATAAAAGTAAAACACCTGGCCACATGACCATAACAGGCCCTCAAGCAGATCAGAATTATGTGTTGCATTGTTTCCACTGAACAGCAAATACAACCTACACCAATACAAATTCAACCTACACCAATCTTTCCTAACCTGAATGCTTGTAGAATTTACTGACAGGCATGGCACTTTGGTGATAGATTTTACACCATCTCAGAACCATGCCAAATGCCCTCCCTGTGTGACAAACCTTAAGTGGCATTTCTCATGCTTTCCTAAGAGAAGTTAAAATAGCCTTTCTTAGCACAAGAAAGATACTCAGAAATACCAATCTTATTTGAACTTAGAATAAAATTATAGTGACTTGTCTCATAAGCTTACTAGGGATTTAAGAACACAAACATCTCTCACTTTGCAAGTCGGAGCTTATAACCTACCAAAACAAATCTATCATTCCACAATAACATTTTAATTTTGTTTCCAGGCAAATCTCCATGAAACAATCTACCCTCAATCCCAACAAATGGGTAGAACTGACCTACTTATATTTTACAGCCTTGGATATGGACACCCCTAAGTTGCTTCTCCCATAGAATCTGTATCAGCATGTTGTCCTTAGGTTAGCCAATGGTTCCCAGAAAGACTGTATAGTGTTAAAAAGGTAAGAACACCACTTAATTCATTCTCCTTTTTCTATTATCTGACTCTGACATAGTGAAACACACAATAGCCTGTAACTGTAACACAATGTGTCAGAGAGAATTATAGTAAAGACAGAAGGCTGGATCATGGCTGAAGTGGTAGAGCACCTGCCTAGCAACTATGAGACCTGAATTTAAAATTTAGTACTGAAAGTGGGTGGCGGGGAGCTATGTTAAGAAAGAACTCACAGGATTATAAAAAAAGACAGTGTGTCCACTTATAACCCAATGTATGTTTTATAAGTAATATATTAATTATTAGTAAGAGTGAGAATGAAAAACAAAGTGAAACCTAAAACACTAATGCAGTACCACTACCAAATAATAAGTTCAAAACACTTCTATGAGTAGATTAACAGCCCAACTTGAATATCTGAATATTTTTAGATGAACTGACATTCTCCAAAATCATTATATTTCTTAAAAATTAAATGTTTTTTTCTTTTGCAGTTGTGTGGATTGAACCCAGCGTCTCACATAGGTAAGTAACTGTTCTACCACTTGGGTTATGGTCTCTAGCCCTAAAATAAACCTTTCTTGAAAGTGCCTTTGCCTAGCACTTCCACTGGAAAAAAACAGACTGCAAATTCCACTCTTCTACTTAAAACTGGAAGAAAAGAAGAATAAGAAATCCCAGATCTAATCCTAAGTGGTAAAGTAACTTTTCACACTAATTATAGCATTCTTAAACTAAAGCATTTCCATCTGAATGTGAATTACCAAACTCTAAAACAGGCATAAATTATGTTATAACTTCTATGTAAACTGTCATCACTCTGGAATGAAGAAATACCGCCTTTAGACAATTATTCAAGTAGCTACAAGCTACTTTATGAAGTCAAACCCAGGTGATAATTCCATCTTTGCTAAGTCTTTAGGAAACCTAACTTTATTCATTCTTCTAATTTTCTCGTATACAGAGTCCTCGAGATTTACAGCCACCTGCCTGGCTATGTGGGTGGGGCTGATTTTTATTTTGGGTGTTTTGTTGTTTTTGTTGTTGTTTTGCCAGTCCTAGGGCTTGAACTCAGCCTGCGTGCTGTCCCTGAGCTTCTTTTGCTCAAGGCTAGCGCTCTACTATTTGAGCTACAGCTCTACTTCCTGCTTTTTCTGTGATTAATTGGAGATGAGTCTCATGGACTTGCTTACCAGAATGGCTTCAAACCATGATTCTCAGATCTCAGCCTCCAATTATAGGCGTGAGCCACGGGCACTGGGCTAAGGCTGGTTAGTTTCTAGTTCATTCCTGCCGCAAAGCTGAAGTGTCAAGGGCACTTGAGCCAGCATCTGATAGAAGCAGGCAGGACACTGTGAGAATACCATGACTCTAGATTGAGCTTGGGTTTAAATTATGACCCTACTTCCTGCTAACACCAAGATTTTAGGGAAGTCATTTAGTCCTTCTGAGTCCCCTACCTCAGTAAAACAGGGTAATTCAAACCTACAGTCTTTGTGAGGACTACATTATATGATCTACATGAAGTGACTAGTATATAATATGGACTCAACAACTGTTAACTTCCAATCCCATTTTCTTCATAGCCACAGAGTTCTAACTGAACACTACTGGTTACAGTAGAGTTCTGCTGAAGTCTGCTGGCAGTCAGGTAGCAATTCATGACAACATTTTACACATGTATTCAAGATCAATTGTGCCAGTTCTTTAAAAGTCTTATTTAAAAAAAATAAAGCTTTGCAAGTTGTCAGTACACTGCCTTTATTTTTCACTAACCTAAATGAGCTTTTCAATAGTCTGACCACTATTAAAAATCTGAAATTGGGACTGGGAAGATGGCTCAGTGGTAGAGTGCTTGCCTCGCATGCATGAGGCCCTGGGTTGGATTCCTCAGCACCACATAAACAGAAAAAAGCCTGAAGTAGTGCTTGGTTCAAATGGTAAAGTGCTAGCCTAGAGCTGAAGGACAGCACCCAGGCCTGAAGTTCAAGCCCCACGACCGGAAAGAAAAAAAAAACTGAAAAAAAACCTGGTTATTCTGTAAGATTAATGTATTTATTATGAAGAAGTCAGGGAAATTAGAAGGAATCTTAGAACAGAAAACCCTGGTTAAAATTCTGGATTTCCTTTTAAGTTTACAAAATGTTGTGAATTTTTATAATATAATATCAACTTTCCTCCTATGAATATGAGCTTATTTTAGAGAAAAATCCTCAGGATTTATTTTACTACCCTATTCTGGATTTATTTAACTACACTTTCGTAAGAGATTGGTAAACAAGTCTATTAGTTACTATTTATATTGTCAGAGCACTACACAATTCCAAGTATCTTCTAAGGAAAAGAAAACAATATGAGATTTAAACCAAGGTGACAACTGTAAACAAAGAAGTCTACTGATAGCTGACATTTTGTGTAGGATTTAAAGAACCTTCCCAAAGCTTCTATTCCCCTTTATAATTTAGTATAAGTGTAAAAATTTCCTTTCCCCCATGCTGGCATTTAAGAAAAGGGCATTACTTAGCATGCACTATTTTTATGTTGGCAACCATGGCTATTTTGAGCCATTTTAGTACTGTCCAATCTTTACGCCAAGCATGGTTAGCATGATATTCGCAAAGTAAAGAGTATTCACAGTGTAAGGTCACTTAATAAGTACATTTCTTTTTAACAACCCAAAAGTCTATCTTTTGTTCATAAACAATAATGTAACTAACAAACCAAAGTCACTAAACCTTAAGAAAATCCTACCTTTTGTGCATCTCCTGTGAAATATGCAATGGCCAAGGTGGGCAGAATCATAAACAGTGCATTATAATACAGCAGACCATATTTTCCCAGCTCCTAGAAGAGTAAATAATCAAAGATTTTATTTGATTCTAGCAGACAGATAACACAACTTGGTGCACATTACTATCCCAATTACACATACACATGAACTTGTAGGACTTGCAAGTTAAAAATGTCTTAAAACAGGCACCAATGGCCCGGATCTATTATCCTAGCTAATCAGGAGGCTGAGTCAGTTTGAGGATCATGTTTGAAGCCAACTCAGGCAGAAAAGTCCATGAGAGGGACTGGAATGTGATGTGGCTTAGTGGTAAAGTGTTTGCCTAACATGCATGAAGCCCTGGGTTTGATTTCTCAGTACCACATAAACAGAAAAGGTTGGAAGTGGCACTGTGGCTCAAATGGTAGAGTGCTAGTCTTGAGCAAAAGAAGCTCAGAGACAGTGCCCAGACTCTGAGTTCAAGCCCAAGACGGGAAGGAAGGGGAGGGAGGGAGGGAGGGAGGGAGGGAGGGAAGGAAGGAAGGAAGGAAGGAAGGAAGGAAGGAAGGAAGGAAGAAAGGAAGGAAGGAAGGAAGGAAGGGGAGAAATAGAGATAGAGAGTGGGGGGGGAGAGGGAGAGAGAAAGGAAAGAAGGTCCATGAGACTCTTATCTTCAATTAACCAGCAAAAATGCTGAAAGTTGAGGTACAGCGCAAGTGGTAGTATGCCAGCTGTGCACAAAAAGCCAAGTGAGAGTGTAAGGCCCTGAGTTCAAGCCCCACTACCAGCATAAAGAAAAGAAAAAGGAAAGAAGACAGGACAGGACAGGACAAGTTTTAATTTCAGTAACTATATTTGAGTCTAAAACACAGCACTAAGTCTTCATGCCATATGACTCATGCTCACAGGCCTATGATTATAAGCAGTCCTGAAATTATAGGTAATGAAACTTCCAATTTATTAAAACATCTCTGTGTGGCCATAATGGCTTTAGAATAAACCAAATGATGAACTGGTTATGATCAATCACAAGCATCAATGGAAAGGTTTCTCTCATTTGTAAGGCCCCCAAGGAAAAAGCTGTATTGGGACCAACAACCTTTGAGAATGTGTGCCCAGACATGCAGTGATGGTTAACAGGAAGTAGAGGATGTACAAACAAGCTAACACATCAGACACACATCATTAATGCAACTGTCAAAGAATAAAAACATGAATGCCTCAACTTTTCAATTGTTCCTTTCATATTTTTTCTGTTTTGGATCTTTTCCCTTAATTTTTTTTGGGGGGTTGGGGTAGAGAGTTTCACTATATAATAACAGGCTGGCTTCGAACTCGTGATCCTCTGTTGTCAGCCTCCCAAGTGCTGGAATTATAGGTATGAACTCTATATGAATTTCTAAAGCACAGTACACTGGTTAAAAGTTGACTTAGGACATTATCATAAACTTGAATTACTATACTTTGTTCTCATATATTGTGGTCTTTATTGCTTTATTTTATGGTTTGGTTGGTTGGTTTTGCTTTGTTTGTGCTGCTAGGGTTTTTGAACTCAGGGCCTTAGTGCTTCCTAGATGAGCATTCCACCACTGAGCCATATGTCCAGCCCTTTTTGCAGTGACTATTTTTTAGCTAGGGTCTTGCTTCCTACCCAGGTACACATCTGGACCACAACCCTATTTTTGCTTTCCATCTGCTAAGACAACAAGTATCTGCCACCACAGCCAGCTTCTTTCCATTGAGCTGGAGTCTCATGGACTTTCCTGCCTAAGATGGCCCAGAAATGCAATTCTTCTGATCTCTGACTCCCAAATACTAGACAAATAAGTCTAGTACAAATAAGTCCTAAGTCATTCCTTAGTAAGCAACCAAAGGGTTCTCTCCTAGAAGTAAAATACTCTGATGGGGATGTATTGGGATGTGCTATCCAAAATAGCAGTCACTAGTCACATGGAGAGATTTAATTATAAATGTACAAAACTCCCAATTTGGTTTCTCAATTACAGCAGTCACTTTTCAAGTGGTGAATAGCTGTGTATGCCTAGTGGCTCCTGGTAATGGACAGCAGAGATAAAGATTTTCATCACAGAAATTCTGCTGGAATAGTACTACTTCAGAGAGCTGAAGCTGCTGGGTAAATGTAAATGATATGCTATTATTACTTGGGCTACTTGAGCTAAAGAATAAAACCAAAGTAAAACAAATCTGTAATTGTTCCTTATTCTCTATTCATAAAGAAAACAATGTTTACTGGGGCCTCCATTTAAATGCAGTCATCATTCAGACCAAGGTGACTTAGTGGAGGACAAAATTTAAGAGGCAAAGTTAAAGAAAACATGTTGGAAACAAATCTACCCTATCCTCAGGTCAAAGAAAACTGTAAACCAAGAAACCTACTGAGACAGCTACACATCTACATTCCTTTCCTGGAAAAAAAGGCAAAGCCCTGCTGGCCAAGGTAACAAGACTAGACACTAGCAATGGGGCTAATGCTATAATCCAGTAGAGTACTTATATTTATTTTCATCTCAGTTCCAAAAAAGGGCTTGAGTTAATCTCAAAAATGCCATGCATGTAATAAATGGAGAAGACTAAAAATAAACAGATAAGGTCATCTGACTGAAGATAATATGGGTAGAAAAAAATAAGATAAAATCACGGTCAGTTACAAGATTCAATTATGAGATTAAAAACTAGATCAGCTGCTCAGAGTGACTTCTAAGATAAACATCTCATATAGGTGGCCATTTAAGATAAATTATGATACCAAGGACAACTCCTTCAATAACAAACCAATGATATATAAAACTGAACTCCATGCAGCTATTTGTTACAGTAATATAACTTCACAATGCAGCAAAAGAGGTAGGCCTATATATTCACCTTTCTGATGGTCTGACTATACCTAAAATTAAATTTTAATTGTGTCTATTTCCAAACTATAGAGTAAACAAACAAAAAATTACTTGAAATAGCCTTTGTATACATGCTACTAATAGAAAGCAAAATGCCAAGCATACAAAGTTCACATGTACAAGATCCAGGACATAAAACTTAATGTTGACCCAGGAAGTGTGAACCTAAAGCTCCCTGAAGTGTCCCACTATTTTTAGGCAAAGTACACATAGGCTATCCTTATCCTTCAGCCCCTTCCAAAACTCACTTTCTCTCACAACTCAAAGCTTCCAAATATCTCCTTCGTATCCCAGATCCCCCATAAGGCACTATAAAACACAACCAAGAACATTTATGATACTTTTCTCAGTGAACACTTTATTTTCTCTACCCACTAAATCAATACTCAAGCCATCTCATCTAGAAAAGCCACCAACAATACTATATTTCTAACTTAAAACTAACTTAGTGCTGGCCTAGCAAGCACAAGGTCCTGGGTTCAATCTCTAGTACCAAAAAAAAAGACCAAAAAAAAAAAAACTCAAACATAAAACTAATTTCCTTATGTGAACAAAGTATAGACATTTTACCCTTAGGGAGCACCTATGTGTTTCCAATCCCTCATAAGAACTTTTGTTTACTGCATGCTTTCCCTGATTAACAGGCAAATAAACAATTGCCAGATGCTAGTGGCTCACACCTGTAATCCTAACTACTCAGGAGCCTGAGATCTGAGGACTGAGGTTTGAAGCCAGGTAGGGTAGAAAATCCATGATACTCTTATCTGCAATTAACCAGCAAAAAGCTGAAGTGGACATGTGCCTCAAGTGGTAGAGCAGTAGCCTTGAGTAAAAAAGACAAGAGCTTTAAGGCTCTGAGTTCAAGCACCAGGACATACACAAAGAGGGGGGAGCAAGCACAAGTGGGGGGGAGGAGAGAAGAAAGGAGGGAAGGCAGATTGATCTAATACTGCTACCTACTTTTGAATCTAATTTTTGTTTCACGTATGCACCATTTGCTGCTGTGAGAACATCATTTATCAGAATAAAAACATATCCTTCCAGATCAAATGCCAAGTCAGAGCTGCAAAACATAAGCAATACTTTAAGAACAATTTACATTTAAAGAAAATTAATTTAAATTTAAATATGTCTCAAGTACAGTATGTGCAAAAACATATTCTCATCTAAGTAAAAACAAAAATCATTTTATCAGAGGTGAGGATTTCTTTAATCCTGATCACATATGGCAATTTCACACTCACACTGAGGGATTCTTTAGAAATGAGAAGCACTGATGTTTAAACACATCATTAGAAATTATCAGTCATGGAACCAGACATGTTGGCTCAAGCCTGCAATCCTCTAACAGTATACTATTGTGATTTCAATGTCAGATAACATAAAACCAAATTTACCATTATGAGACGTCTCTGAAAGAAGCCAAAGACATCAATTTCATAAATAAGGAAACCAAAAAAATAAAAGTTAACATGTCATTTTTCAAAATTTCAACAAAATACAGGTCTAACCTGACTGTTACTTATGAGATCAAACGACAACAGTGACTAACCAGTGGGTACTTAAATGCTCCAGACGTTTTTCCATAAACCTTTTGGGATCAGGCAAACTGAGCATATCTACTGTTTAGTAGAGTACTGGACACAAGATTAGAACCAGTAAATTATGAATGAAAATCTGACAGAAGTTAGGCCTTCCACATCCTTGAGCACCCTAGTCAAATTGTGGCTTTACATTCTATAACTTCACAAAGTTGTTATTTTTTTTTAATTTGGCTAAATTATTAAAGGGAACCAAGGCTTAAGCTTATATTCCCTTCAGATTCTCTTTCTCTCCATCTTTTTTACACATTAAAAGGTTCTAATTAGACCAGCCAGGTCTTTAAAAGCTTTTTGGAGGTCAAAGTAAGACCTGAGGAAACCCTGTTGGTTAGTTCAGTTAAGATCCCATTGGCTTAAAGGAAATGTTCCTAAATATTTAGAGTACAAGGCAGTTGACAAGTACAGAATTTTTCTTCAAGGAAAGAAAAGAGGGGTAAGTCTGTGATACAATCAAGTTCTAGTAACTGATTATGCCTTTTGTACAGGGAGGGGGAGTGACAAAATTTCACTTGGAGATTTAGAGCAAAATAGAATTTTCCTTGTATTCCTCCCACTTTTTCCACAGGAACATGTGATGAAGGTAAAGGCTCCAGTCCAAGAAGAACACTGCAACCCACAGATGGAAAATGTATATCAGGCTGAATTCGTGGCATTAGCAAACCTAGCTCTGCAGGCTCAGGTGAAGGAAAATGTTCTACAAAGCTTCTAGAAATCATTGTAACTTCCTGAGTCTTTGGGTATACACTTTCCCTGTCTATTTCTTAATTCTTCCCTTCCTTTCCTCTCTCCTTTTCTTTCTAAATTGTCACACAGTATCTGAATGGCAATAATTCTATTTCTATACATGTATATAATGTGTAATCATCAAATCAAGGTAATCAGTACTTTTCTCTTTAAACCTTTCTCACAGCTTTCTGTATATGATTCAAAACTAGAACTTTAAAAAAATGGGGAATATTATAATGGATAGAAATATCTAAGTTACATTTGTGATTTTATTCTACAAGGCAAAAAATCCATTGTTCTGGCTTCCCCTCCTGGAATGACAGACACTATTTTCTTTAGGCGCATAGAACGTAAAAACATGCATGCCTTTACTTTATAAAATCACACAGGCTTTGAGGTTGGGCACAGATTCCATTTCCAGCTCTGCCCTTACCAGATATGTGACCCTGAGCAAGTTACAGAACTTAAGCTTCAGTTTCTTCAACTATAAAATAGGAAATTTTAAACCACTGCCTTCCAGCTGTGAAGAATACATAAATAATAAGTATTCAAGGCCAAATAGACTGTGACGTAGACAAGATATGCTTGGCTAGAAGACAGAAACAAACCCTAAATTATCTGAATTGAAGTAAACATCTCTAAAAATTACAACTTCGCTACACTTGACACAACCAAAAAGTTTTAACTTTTTTAAGTCTTTTCAATATTTTTCAAAGACATACTATTTGGGCTACAAATAATTATTCCTTTTGATGACTGATCACTTATTATCAATAGTTACTGATAATTTCTAATGTAATATCCACAGTGCCATATCTTACCTGGCAGCTACAAAGGCTCCAATAATCATTGCAAATACAGTCATTTTAATACCCCAAGAAAAAGTCTTCCTACAAAATAATGAAAAAAGTATGTATTGCGACTTTATGTATACAAACTCATTTTATAACAGACATAAAATACATTTTTAAAAATACATGAACAATCGTATTTTAAATATTTCTAAGAAACAAGACATTTTTAAAGAACCCTCTAGTGAAGCAAAACTCACGTTGCTATACAAAAAATTGTTGTTATACAAAAAAATTATTTGGAATGGAGGCTGGGAATGTGGCTTAGTGGTAGAATGCTTGCCTAGCATGCATGAAGCCTTGGGTTCGATTCCTCAATATTACATAAACAAAAACAGCTGTAGTAGAGCTGTGGCTCAAGTGGCAGAGTACTTGTTGCCTTGAGCACAGAGAGGCTCAAGGACAGTGCCCAGGCCCTGAGTTCAAGCCACAGGACCGTCAAAAACAAAAAAAAATTATGTTGAATGGTAAGACTATTACCATTTGTTACTACTAGTGAGTTTGAAATTTTTATGTCAAAGTATCTTCAAGGAGAAATACATTGCACATAGGAGTAAAAGTAGCCAAGACAAGGACACATTTAAAATCTCTACTTATGTGACCCAGCTTCATTTAATGGCAGCAACAGATACAGAAGCTCTAGAAAGTAAACCCCACATTCACACAGGTTTGTAACTCCAGCTCACAACCTTTCCAGCTGCTGCTACCATAAACTATCAATTCCTACAGCAAGAACAAAAGGTTGCTTAAACGTCCCAAAAGCTTAAGTCAAAGAAAGCCATATATTAATATTCAGCATATCCTGGGTATCTTTCCAGTTTGTAAAGTTGTTGTTGTGTGTGTGTGTATCAGAAATTTAGCTTACTTGAGTAACACTCCTTCAGCAAACATTGTAAACAGGATGGAGAACCTTCTCAGAACTGTAAACATGGGCAAGCTGCAAAAACAAGGATAATTAGTTAAAATAAATTTTATCTTTTTCAATTTGAAAGCAAGATTCTCCAAGTTGGTACTTTAAGACAATGCTAATCTCTTCCTTCCATTATAGAAATTCTATGCCGATTAACCTCCTGATTAAGTTAAACTCTTACTTCTCTCTAAAAATAAATCGAGTTGAAAGTCTAAAAAAGTTGCTTTTTAAAAAAACACCTACAAAAAGTGAGATATTGTTAACTTAAATGGTACAGATAATGCATCTATTTTCACAGAATGACATACTTCAAAATTTTATCTATTACTTACACAAATACTCTGACTATAATTATGCTAGTCTTTACTTTTTTTAAGCGTATTTGTTTCTTTACTTGGTGGACTGACTTTTCCTTTCCACTCTTAACTCACCCAAAAACACATCTATGAAAATATTACCACATGAAACATTCCTTTATGATCCTTTTGTAAAGTCTTCTAAATTCCTAGGGCATTCTGCTTGTGATAAACTTATAATCTTTTGTAGTCTTATTATTTCTGACTATATCTTATCTTACTCCAAAGTACCTTATCCTCAACTCAATCAAAAGCCGGTGTGAATGAATGGATGGGTGATAACAGATGAAAAAAGCACACAGACTATAAGCAGCACTCTGTAGAAGGCCTGTATTTCTTTCCAAGTAGTAATGAGAACAGAAAAGGATCCCCTACCCATGATGAGCTCCATTCCTTGTAACTCTTCCTACAGACAGCACTGGTCACTTAGTTTGTTTGGTTTTTATGTTTTGTTTTCTTTCAAAGGAGAAAACAACAAATGCTTTGCCTCTGATACTCAGAGATCTCCTTACTATTTATAATCTACCAATATTCTAGGGTTTTGTTCAGCTCATGTGGAAGCATGAAGCTTGGATTTCTCTTGAACTGTCTTCCTCTTGGTGTGGTTTTATTTCATGTCACACACTCCATCACAAGAAGCCAGGTGACTGAAGGGTAAGTAACAGAGCTGCCACTTGGCAGAAGTGAATGTGCGGCCTGCATTCTCACGGATAACACAGTCATCCTACATAGAGCAGCATCCCAATCTGACTCTAATCACTTCATGCTATGAGAAACTGTGAAAGTCCTGTGTCCATCCACTGATTATGGCATGTGGGATTTGCCTGCAATACAGTATTTATAAACCATATGTGAGCTGAAATTCCAAACCTGAAATGTTTCAATACTAAAGGTCTAGAAAATAAAGAAAAATCTCTTACAGCATTCTACATTTTAACACTTACAATATCAAAACAAGAGGAGGTAACAAAACAAAAACAAAACAAAAAAAGGTACTCTTTCTCTTCAAACAAAAAGGCTGAAACTAAAACCTTGGTGCAACCTTCATTCTTTAGTAATAGAAGCTTTATGGTCCTTTTTTGTTTTTTCAGTATTAGTAATAAATGAAATTTTTGACATTCATGTACAACTTTCAGAATACATTATATTAACCTCACTAGTAAAATAAAGTTATCCATACTTCAGTTTCTTTGTGCTGAACAGTCCCGTGATTTGGTTCCCAAAATATAGTAGAGGTAGTGGAAACGTCTAGAAAATTTAAAAAGGGATAACACAACTCAATAATAAAGACAGCTAAAACAAAGTCCTTTCAAACAGAAACAGTTTTGTTTATATGACCAAATTCTTTCCACTTGAAATGTAAGATTACTTCTCATAAACAATTCTGATGCCCATGAAACACCCCAACATTACTATTCTATGATACACAGCACAACTAGCAGAAATTGTGAGAAAGACAGGAAAGAAAAGAAACAGGAATATGAATATGATCGACTGATGTGGGGGCAGAAATACTATTTGCTTTAAAATATAATGCATAGGTCTTTGGCTCTCAAGTCAACAGAAAAAGGAAAAGAATTTCATCTATATGTGGAGTCAAGAAGAGGCAGACAGAAGAATATGAAAAGAAATAAACCCAAGCAATAATGAATGCAGGATACACTAGCTAGAGTATATGAATCACAGAAACTGCAAAACTGCTGTAATCCCAACAAATGAGAATTAACTTAAATGGGGATAGGCTGGCACTGGTGGCTCACACCTGTAATCCTAGCAAATCAGGAGACTGAGATCTGAACACGGAGGCTAAGATCGAAGATCTTCATGGTCTGAAGCCAGCCTGGGAAGGAAAGTCCATAAATCTCCAATAAACTACCAAAAAGCCAGAAGTGGAGCTGTGGCTCAAGTGATAGAGCACTTGCCTTGACCATGAAAGCTCAGAGACAGTCCCCAGACTCTAAGTTCAAACCCCAGGAACCGCACCAAAAAAAAAACACACACACACAAACACAAACAGATATGAGATTCCTACTTTTTTCTTCTTCTTTCATTCCTTCTTACCTCTGTTTTAGTCTGGTTTGGTGTGATGTGGTTTTTAGGTACTGTTGTAGGGGGAGGGGATCCTAGCAGCTTTGGGATTTGAACCCTTTGGACGTGGGTCATTTGCTAAGCAAGTGCTGTACCACTGAAGCCATGCCCCCAACCTATTTCTTTCTTAATTTTAAAGAGAGGTGGGACCCCTAACATATATTACTGCATTTATTCTTTAGTTTCACTGCATGTACTCTAGACTCGGAGGGGATGTCAAAGCTGCAATTTTTAAGTATGCAAGGCACTGATACAAATACAGAATAACTTTTTCATAAAATAAAATGTGACTTTTATTCTTTTTTTTTTTTACCTTTCGAGGTACATTTCTGTCAAAGTCAGGAAACTTGACTATTCTGAGTGCCTTTCCCACCCAGAGAACCGCTACTGTGGCCACCATCTGTAAACAGAGAACACACACAGATGCACTGTTCCACACAGAAAGACACACACAGAGGTTCTGACTACACCAACCAAGGAATGCCAAGGATTCCAACTAACCTGGCCAAGTCCAACACAGAGCGAGGAGGGAAATCTACAAAAGGGGTAAAGAAGAGGGGAAGGAGGGAGGGTAAAAAGAAAAAAAAACAAGGTCAGGAAATGCCACATGACACAGTGAATTGAACTTAAAAACACATTTTGGTTCCCCAACAATGCCCTTCTTTTATTTAAATAAAAGACGTGAATTTTTTTTTTTAAACCAGCGTTTCTAAAGTCAGCCAGCCCCGCCGGTTTCTGTAGCCTGGGGGGCTGGCCACTTGCCTCGTCTTGTCTGCTATGTACAATTTCACTCAGCTTCCAGAAACGGAAGGTAAGACAGATTTCTACATCTCTTCCAACGAGTTCACACCTTTAATCTACAAAAAGGAAAAAAGGAAAAGTCTCTCTCTCTCTCTCTCTCTCTCTCTCTCACACACACACACACACACACACACACACACACACACACGTGCCCCGAGTCCCGGTGACAGCCACAGTGGTAACGGGGGTCCCCAGAGGCTGTCAGCAGCTCGGGGGTCCCCGAAGCCCCGCACGCAGCACCCCGCTCTCTCCTCCTCGTGCAGGGATGCGCCGGGGGACACCAAGTCCCGGAGCAACTTCGCTGCGCGCCCAGACCGGCTCCGCCTGCCCGGCACGGCGCGCCGGGACCCCGACCCCGA